TGGTCGTTTGTGCCAAAAAAATGGTCACTTGTGCCAAAAAAGTGGTCATTCGTGCCTTAAAAATAGTCATTTGTGCCCAAAAAATAGTCACTTGTGCCAAAAAAGTGGTCGTTTGTGCCAAAAAAGTGGTCGTTTGTGCCAAAAAAATGGTCATTTGTGCCCAAAAATTGTCATTTGCGCCAAAAAAATGGTCGTTTGTACCGCGTTACCGACAGACAGACAGACACAGGTGAATTTAGGTTTCTAGACCCTAGCCTTTCAATCTAGGGAACAATTTAGATTTTTTTTTTACAATGAATCAAACAAGATTATTTCTATTTGGTTTATTATTATTATTAAATGTTCAAATAATATCATCAAATTCTTATTATTTAATTGATATTGATAAAAATATATCATTTAATACAAGTTATTGTTCAAATATATTAATAAATAAAAATTTATATCGTTTACCAAATCAATGTCATAAACATTTATTATGTTATCGATATAATTGTGATTATCGTTTATATCGTTGTATGAAAATTCGTGAAACATTATGTTGTTTATATAAATATATTAAAAAATATTGTCAAAAAGAAAATTTTAAAGATCATTTTCGTTTTATTTATTTTCATATATAAATTTAACATGGTTGTTGTGAAATAAATTTAGAACGTATCGAACAAAATGATCAAACATATTGTATTTCAAATAATATTCAAACAACAAATATATCAAAATATTATCATCGTTATTATACTCGATCTACTTTTACAACTGATCTTACATCAAAATCTTCTTCTATTTATATAAATTATATCATTTTAATATTATCAATATTATTATAGATAAATATAAAACATATTCTTTTTCGAAATTTTGCTTGTCATGTTGATCAAATTTAAGATAAGATATTACGAACAGCGACACCATTGACCTCGATGCATATATATACATAGTACTTTGGAGTTATTCGAAAATGACGTAATCATATGGAAGAGTTTGATACTTTTTTTCAATCATATTTAGCACTTGTTGTGTACATGAACACGAAAAATAGTTTCTATTTCTTTGTTGTTCAGTTGAAAATTAGCCCATCTCGCTACTTTTTGAGTTATTTATTACATAAAATGATGTTTTTTTTTCATTGAAGCAATCAAAGCAGAAAAGTTTTTATTTTCTTTGTTGTTGTTGGTTTTTGTAACTATTCCATCAGCTGTCGGTTATCAACCAACATTAGCTACTGATATGGGTACTATGCAAGAACGTATTACAACAACTAAAAAAGGTTCAATTACATCCGTACAGAGGTATATCGAAGAAAAAAAAAACAATAATTTTTTCATTATCCGATTAGTTTTTAATTAATAGATGATCGAATATATTTTGGACAAAATATTTTGTTCCGCTAGAAAGTGTTTTCTATGAGTTAGAACCAAAATTGAGATATTTTGTAGATAAACTTCTCTTCTACAAGCTATTTTATAAATCAATATTCTAACTTTTAGTTTTGAATCAAAATAGTG